TATATATATATATATATGTATATATGTATATATATGTATATATGTATATATATATATATATATATATATATATATATATAGAGAGAGAGAGAGAGAGAGAGAGAGAGAGAGAGAGAGATTTATATGCTCGAAATTATGATTTAGAACAAATGTAATTTTTCTAAGGATAAAAGTGCCAAAATAGTCTCTAACCATTTACATGAGGCTATTTTAGTCCCAAAGTTTATAAAATGATAAAATAACCCACTAAACTCCCAAAATTGGGGCTGAAATAATTCTCATTGAGGACTATTAAAGCTAAATTTAAAATAATTTGAGACTATTTTTACACTTTTATAAACTCTAGGGTTAAAATGACAGTACGTAAATAGGGGGACTATATTGGCACATTACTTGAAAACTATCAATTTTTTTTACAGTACAATTCAAATTTGTTGTTGAAATAGTTTGAATTTTGTCCAAACTGAGGACTATTAAAGCTAAATTTAAAATAATTTGAGACTATTTTTACACTTTTATAAACTCTAGGGTTAAAATGACAGTACGTAAATAGGGGGACTATATTGGCACATTACTCGAAAACTATCAATTTTTTTTACAGTACAATTCAAAATTGTTGTTGAAATAGTTTGAATTTTGTCCAAACAGTTAAGTTGAAATGATTTGATTCTTATTTGAAATCAGATTTTGAATAAGCTTCAAATGAGGAATTCGAATTATGCTTGAATTATGTTAAAATCATGTTCATAATTAGTTTGAATATGATTCAAGCTCTCCTCCTAGCATTTAGCCTACTATTTGTTTTCTTACAAAATATGCCTAATAACTTATTTTGATTTAAAATATTGGTTCTTCTATTCATAAATTATTTTTTAAAAAAATGTCAAAAATTATATCAATTCAAACAAGTTTGTATTCAATTTATAGTTTTAACCCTAAGACTTGTTTGAACTAGTTCTGCAAGTACAAACCAAGTTCAAACTAATAGCTTAAATTGGTGGTTGAAAACATCTTGTTTCTTATTTAAACTATGAGTTTGGCTGGCTTTAACACTATCTGAAGTCCTTGTTTAAACTAACTCTCCTTAAATCACATTTTTTATCAAAATCCAATTTTGTTCAATTAGGTTCAAATATAGTTCTAATCATGCTGAAAATATGTTCAAATCTGATTTGAATGTTGTTATTGAGTATAACCCAACAAGTAGATGGATTTTTTTTTAATAACTTAACATAAGCAGCATACAGTCTAACTGGCAAGTATTGCATTAATGAGTAGAACCAATCAACTATTGATTCAGAAATTACATCAAATTGAAGCACTCATTACATTAAAAATTCTATATTTATTATTAAAATTTAGAAGGATTATTTATTTTGCATCAAATAGAATTAAAATGTTATAACAGTGAAAAATAAAATAAAATGTCATGAAGGCAATGGGCATTTAATGATATAAGTAACTCAGTTATGATCTATTGCACCACATCATTCTTCTTATTTCTATGCCTTTTATTTGTCTTTAAATTTCCACTTTTTGGCTTCATCAATGAGAATAGCATGTTAGTTTTTATTTATTACATATAAAATATTTGAATGTTCTTGTTTTTTACTTGATGTATGGTTTTACTATATGCAACTAATGAATTTTTTTGCATATAAAAATAAAATTTTAGCACAAGCTAAAATAACTGACATCTTGGTCCTGAGTTATGGCCAATGCGCTCCTACTTGGGAGACCGTATGCAAAAAAAATTATTCCATACGGGCATTGTATGTATTTCTGCATACGTTGTTTGATCTCCACCGTTCATCACAGCAAAGATGTATAACAGTGGGCCTTATTTTTAATTTTTTTTAATTAAAAAAATTTGATAAACGGTGAAGATCGAACATCATATGCATTTCTGCATGTGGTGTCCGTATGAAATAATTTTTCACTCGGGAGACCCATCATATTCTCAACGTAGACATATCCTCTCAAACTAAAATAATTGTTAATATCACCATCAAAGACATGCAATTCAAATTAATTAATTTTGCAAATAATCAATATTTTGAGCCTTATTCAAGAGCTTTTTCAATGCTTCTTCAATTTTCTTTGCCAAAAGAATTTTTATATTTGTTACAATGATGAATCTACAGATTAATAATTTATGCATTGTGTGCTTAAAAACTCCAATTTAGTAGTCATTAAGTAGGAGCAAATGCCCTTGATAAAATTATAAATGCTTTCTAAAATATAAGTTGTCATCAAGATATATAGTTACCAGGAAAGAAAGGGTGATGCATTTTTATTTCAATCTAAGAAGCATGATTGAATTTCTAAACTATATTTTATAAAGTGCTGTGAAACCCAATCATTTTATATCCTTCAAAAGTCAAGTGATATTTCTGATGAAGAGCTATCAATTTTAGTTTTTGTTGTAATATTAATCATAATAAGATAGGTGCATAGTCGATGATGAGCCTCTAGAAACATTTCAGATAAATTATTGATGACATTTGGGGTGTCTATCAGAGGAAGACAACAAGTTTTCCATGATGTCAAATGACTCCCTCATTAATCATGGAATATTTATATAAATCTTTTTTTAGTTAAGTACTATAAATTCTATTAAATAAATAAGAGGATTAACATCTTGCACAACTATAAAAAATAAAGCATATCTACAATTTGCATTAATAAATATTTCATCTACATTTACTATTAAAATATATGCACTTTCAAAGCCTTAAATAAAAAACCTAAAAAAATAAACATAATGGAAATGTTATGCACTGCCAAAATAGAGAAAAATAATCCATAAATCTAGTCTATTTAGTATAATCACTTATGATGGCAAGCTCTAAAAATATGCTTCAAAGGATGTTCTCACATAAGTGATAGTCTACTTTCAACACTGCTAGGTTTTTCCATAAGATGAAATAATGCTATTTAATACAATCATCTTTGACTTTAAATTAGATATAGATTAAATATGTTTTTTTAACTATACTTTTAATAAGTCATAATTAAGCAACTTGATGGAACTTTAATTTAACATCTAAAGCACAAATTTATTTTGATTCATGGCTCTTGACAACAAATATGTTTGATTTTGCCTACTCTAAAACCAAGCTTCATGATCTTTTCTCAAAATTGCAACGAATAAATTAAACACCTTTAGTTGATTTCTTCATCATAAGTTTTTTTTTTTTTTCATTACATAGAGATATAAGTTCCTCTTTCGCACATATTTGTTCTTAAACAATCACTTCTAAATAACTTGAGGACAAACTCAGAACTTGAATTAGGCATATATTCAATCAATGAGTCATATAAAAACCAAGTATTTTTCAAATATTTAATTTTTGCCTAGAGCCCTTAGGAAAATGAAGAATCAAAATATTTTACTCATTTATCAAATTTAAAGTAAATCATAAAATGGGGTTATAATCTCCATCCAATGCATTGGCATCAAAATCAAAGGCAAACTAATAATGAATTGAGAAAAAAAACTGAATTTACTAAGCCCTGGATTTAAAACTATCATTTTTTTTTCTTTCTGGCAAGTTTTAAGTTGAATCCAACTACTTAAATCCATTGTCATACAACCCCGTAAAAATCTCTTCCTAATAAAAAAAACCAAATTTTGAGAAAATTCAAATTGAAGTTCACTCTTCATGCTTAGCCACCACATAATTTATGATCCAAACAACTCTATAAAAATCTAATTTTGCCACTAAAGTTCACATACCATTGCTCCTTCAAACACAATAAACCTTAAAAATATACTGAAATTGTTCAGAGCACACATCATAAAAAAAGACACAGAATCATCACAGCAAAAATCAATTAACGGTAACCTTGCCCACCATCCCCGCTCCCTGATGTGGAGAACAGTAGAAAGTGTAAGTACCCTTAGCATTCAGAGCAACAGAATAAATCTCCCCAGGAGCATTAAGCAGATCTTCTTCGCTCATAGAAATGGCCGCAGCATCAACGCCTGCAGGAATCTCATCCTCGTCAAAAACCACATTGTGAGGAAACCCGGCGTTGTTTCTGAACACAATTTTCTCCCCGGGAGCCACCGTGAACTCGCTCGGAATGAAGGCTAAGGAGCCATCGTTTCCGCCTAAGAGGACATCGAAGGCGAGAGCATTGGACGTCAGCATGGCGGTAATGGCGGAGGAAGCTAAGCCGATTCCGACTTGTTTGAAGATTTTGTGGTTGGCGAACATGGAAGGGGCCATTCGAGCTTTGGGGCGGAGAGTTGTTTTGGAGATGGGGAGGGAAGGGAGGGTTAGGGTTGCAGAGGACATGGCTGCTGTGAAGGAAAAGGAGTTTCGGATCAATGGAGTTTAGATAGTATGGGTATATAGAGCAGAGAAGAGGAGAGTGTATGAGGATGAGTTATGGATAAGGCGAGGAGATTTCTGATTATTTGTGAGTGGGAGAGGGCATGGGATGGGATTTGTGTGGATTGGAATGAAGGGAATCTTGAGGTTGTTTTTTCTCAGGGGCATTTACATTTATGTTTTACATCAATTTAGTCTTTTCATATCTAACGGCTAAATTTTAACTTTTTCTATTTATGATACAAATCTTTCATGTCGCATAAGAATATCACACTTTTAATTTTATTAAGTTATTGTGCTTTAGATTGATATATTAACATCTTTATGTTATATAAAAGTGTGACATGCATATAAATAAAAGAAAAGGCTAAGAGTTATAAAAGTGTGACATGCATATAAATAAAAGAAAAGACTAATGTGGGATTTGTGTGGATTGGAATGAAGGGAATCTTGAGGTTGTTTTTTCTCAGGGGCATTTACATTTATGTTTTACATCAATTTAGTCTTTTCATATCTAACGGCTAAATTTTAACTTTTTCTATTTATGATACAAATCTTTCATGTCGCATAAGAATATCACACTTTTAATTTTATTAAGTTATTGTGCTTTAGATTGATATATTAACATCTTTATGTTATATAAAAGTGTGACATGCATATAAATAAAAGAAAAGGCTAAGAGTGATAACAATAGAAATTTTACACATAGAATACCTTAAAGGATAAATATTATATAGTCTAGCCCAACTGAAATGATTTCACTATGTTGATGTATTTTGTAATGACTTTTTTGACCTTTGAATAGTTCGAAGTAATATTACACAAGTGAGAGTTATCGACATCACTTTCACTAGATGAGTAGCAGAATACATTGACGAAGTGGCGATGGCCCTATTGTCGTGAATGAAGACCGAAGGCACACATTGTGTGCCAAAAAATTGATGTCAGTATCGTCGGTAGCGGCGATGATCCAACATATATGGTCGGATATATGTGGTCCGATGGTGGTGGTTGTCTGACTACAACGATGGTGGAGGCCAAACAGTAGTAGTCTGACGATGGTGGCGACCAGACTGTGATAGTATAACGATGACTATGGCGACTGGGTAACAGTGATCCAGCGATGGCGGTGACCTGATGACAGTTGTTCGGCGATGGCGATGGTCAACCAGTAATTGTTTGGCAAAAGTGGAGACCCAACATCAATGGTCTAACAGTGGCCTGGCAACGGTGGTCCAACAACGACGATGATCAACTGATAGTGGTCAAGCAATGATCACAATGTTGGACGAGGCGACCAAACAAACAGCAACAATGGTGGTCAGGTAGCGGCGGTTTGGTGACGGTGGCAATTGGACCTTAATGGCAGGCACCAGACATTGGAGGTCCGACGACAGCGTAGGTGGTAATCGGGCAATGGTGATTTGCGATAGAGACAATGACAGTGATGGTTAGACACTTGTGGTCTAGCGAAAACAATGGCTAGACAACTATCGTCTGAAAGCGAAGACGATGGTGGTCTGGCATTGGTGATTTGACAGCGGTGATCCAGTGGTGGGGTCGGTGGTGATCGAGCAATGATAGTTTGACAATGGTGGCAACTTGGCGATGGTGATCTGATGGTGGTGGAGCTTAGGAATCCTCAAGAACATGGAGCTCCTTCAGCCTTATCCTCTAAGTCTTATTTTCATGAAGAAAATGGAGTCTATTTTTAGATTTTGTGAATGATATCTTCTCTAAATAGTGTATGAATCTGAATCACTCCATCAGACGAAAGAGTGATCCATTTGAACGAATGATATTTTATCAGCATTTAAGCGAATTAATGATGTCAAAATTAAGTGAACTAGGACTTGTTGGTTTCGTCTTGTCAATACACTCAATTTGACTATAAATTTGTCATTTTTGGAGATCATTTTATCCCACAAAATATATCTCAAAAGCTTCACGATAATTTTGGTGCATGATCTGAGATCACTTAGACTAAGATCAAACTATGATTGAGATCAGTTGGCTTGCCTTAACAAGATACATAAGTTGAATCGGATTATAGACAATTAAAATTTTGGAGCTTTCTGTACTAATATGAGTCAAGATTCATGCTTGATTAAGATAATTTTTTTTGGGGATGCATCAAAAGTGAAATGCACCTTTTCTTGTATAGAAAAAGTGGCACGTATGTAGAAGTTGAAGCTAAGATGTTAGTTATGTAAATACATAGAAATTGAGTGGTATATATTTAAATCTTCATTTTATTAATGTGGGGAAGAATATTGTGGGTTCTGTGGTTTGTTTTATTTAAGTGAATAAATGAATTAGTTACATATGGTATAATTATTAAGTATTTTTGGGACCATAAAGAATGATGATATTATATTATCCTTATTTATAATAAATTTTATGCCTTTATTTTAATTGATAAAATGTTTAAGAAACACTCCTTCCTTCAAATAATAATAAAATAAAAAATTATGACTCTTAGGTTCTATATTTTAAGAGCCTAAGAAATCAGAAATTAGATTTTCAAGTTTGAGTTTTGAGGCCGAACTAATATTATGATATTTCATTATTTTAGAAATGTGAGGGAAAAAATCCCAACTCCAATGAAAGGAAATATTTCACGTTTAGGGCATAAGAAGTCCTCTCATGGAACAGAAAATATCGAACATGTTAAGACGACGACTGCGATGCACCGAAAAGAGCGGAAGAAAAAAAAAATAACCTCCAATGAATCGCGGTTGTTGTTCAGACATGACTTACGTTCAAACTCCAAACGTAATATTTTTTCATGAAATGCTTGAATACGCAGCACTCCGGTTAGAAACAAAACAAAAATTTTTGGAAGTGTAAAAAAAATTTGAAGTTCACATTGAGGGCTCACTACCTAAAAAATAAAAAAAGTTCTCAAGAAGCTTTAATTAAGGAAAAAATATTACATCAGAACTCTACACATATCATACAATAACACCAAGAATATTCCTAAAACACTATAATACCTGAATATCATACAATAACACCTTAATAACACGGAATAACACGAGAAAAATATCCCCCAGTGTTACCGGGTCGATCACCTTTACGATGTAATTTCATTAGACTGCGCATATAACTCTACATACAGAGTCCTGATGTAATATTTTTTCTTGATTAAGAGGCGTAAAAAATATAATTCTCAACAATTCTAACTTGAATTTCACTTTTTAAAAGTCAAGAATAATATCATACCTTATGTGATATAAGACATTTAAGTGTTCTAAATATAGAAATCAAAATTTAGGTATTAGATTTGTAAATATTTAAGCCTAAGAAAAAACAATAATAATGCTAGACTCATTTTATAAATAATAGTAAATAACTTCCTTAAAACTACCTCGCATATTTTGATTGCAAAGAAGTCCTTCTCAAAGTATGAAATTCTGAAAAACATTACAAAAAAAATTACAGAAAATTAAAATTATGACAAAAAATATATATGAAATTGTGAAAAAAAGAAAAATTCAAACACAACTTTAACATGAATATTGAAAGTTTGATTTCCAAAAATACCAACAAGTCTCCAGCTTCAATCAACTAAATAAATGTGGCATAAAAACCCCTAATTAAATCTAATATTACAAATACATCAAGAAATAAATTCTTACATCATGAATTACATTGAAGGCTTCGAATCTTC